CACTTGCCACTATATTCAGCATTCTACCTTGACATGGAATCTTGTAGATTTTTCTGTCCAACCTGACCTGAAACCGTGATCCTCTGATCATAGTCTAGCAAGTAGCTAGGACAGGCATTAGCCTCCAGCATGCAGTTTATATGGACCATTTAAAAATTATAATAGTAAATACTTTCCATTACCTCTGGACATGGTAGTACATGCTTATAATCCCAGCTACTTGGAAGATATAGGCAAGAGGATTTCCAGTTTTAAGTCATTCCTAGGCAAAAACAAACAAACAGTGAAACAAAATAACATCCTATCTCAAAAAAATACAAATAAAAAGGCTGGGGACATAATTCAAGTGGTAGCATATTTGCTTAGCATTTACAAGGCCCGGAGTTCAACCTCTAGTAGTGAAAGAAAAAAAAAAAACTTTGTTCCCTACACCAGGCTTATTTGTTGGGATGTGAGGCTCTCTAAATTTTTGCCAGGACTGACTTCAGTGAGCCTCCACCTTCAGAGTAGCTGGGACTACAGGTATGAGCCATCATATTCAGCCCCTTAAAAAAAACTTTTGCCCATAGTGGAGAGAGGAGTGGTGGTCAAATACAGTTATAATACTCAAGGTACATATATGCAAATGGAACTTGAGGGGATTGGTGAGGATAGGACAGATGGTGGGCGAAGAAGGATGGGAGGGGCAACAATGATCATGATGTACCCTATTCATGAATCAACATGCTGAATGGAAATCTCTCTGTACAACTGCATAAAAATTTTTAAATGTTGAAAGTAATATTTTATCTTACTTTTCGGCGTTGACATTGAAATTGTATCATTTAAGTTCCTTTTATTCAATGTAAGGAACTCAGGAAGATTCCCCTGCATTGCTTTGCAAAAAAAAAAAAAAAAAAAAAAAAAAATTTCCTGGCTTCTACTCTTTTTTTTTTTTTTTTTAATTTTTATTCTGGCTTCTACTCTTGAACATTTTTTTCCCTCCAACCCAGAATTAACTTACTTGTTACAGTCCCTACAAACCCTTGATTTTGCTAGGAAGAGTGATACACACCTATAATCCCAGCTACTCTGGAAGCAGTGGTAGGACAATCTCAGTCCAAGGACAGCCTGGGGAAAATCTAGATCAAGGCAAAGAATTTCCAGATTAATTTATGAGGAACTGACGTTTTTATTATGTTGATTCTCCTCTTCAGAGAATATGGCTATTTTTGTTCAGGTCCTGTTTTATATATTTCAGTAAAGTTTTAGATAGGCTTTGGCCGTTCTTACTAAGTATGTTTACAGATGCTTAATAATTTTTGTACTTAGAGTGAACTGAATCTTTTCCCCATTGCATTTTTCCAGTGTTTTATTACTAGCTGGGTCTATACACTTGTATTCTAACACCAGAGGATTAACTTAAGAAGAGCAGACCTTTCTCCTCACAAGAAAAAGCCAATGACAAGGATAGAAAGGGAAAAATCTGTATGTATTTTATTTAATATGACTTATATTGCACTCTAGATCTTGTTCTATTTCTTATTCTCATTTAACATAATTATTTATGATGTTCACATTTTTATAGATACCTTTTATCAGATTAAGGAAACTTTCTTGTATTTGCAATTCTCAAAAATGTTTTTATTGTAAAGATGATGTACATTCAAATTGTTTTTAAAATCTTAAAAAGGTATTGAATTTTATCAAGCCAATTTTCAGCATCTATTGGAATAATCATCTTTTTTAAAATTTGTGATGGCTGGAAGTGGTGCTGTGGCTCAAGCCATAGAGTGCTTGCCTTGAGCTGAAGAGCTGAGGGACAGCGCCCAAGCCCAGAGTTCAAGCCCCACGACCGACCCCCCCAAAAAAAATTTGTGATAGTTGACTTTGTCTTTTTTTTTTTTTTTTGTGGCCACGTGCTCTTCAGCTAAAGGCGAGCACTCTACCACTTGAACCACAGCACCACTTCCAGTTTTCTAGTGGTTAATTGAAGATAAGAATCTCACGGACTTTTTTGCCAGGGCTGGCTTTGAACTGTGATCCTCAGATCTCAGCCTCCTCAGTAGCTAGGATTACAGGCATGAGCCATCGGTGCCCGGCTTGATTTTCTCATTTTAAACCACCTTTGCATTCTAAGGCTAAAACTCAACCTGGTTAGGATATATCATCATATACTACTGGATTCAGTTTATTTTGCATAATTTCCACACCCTTTGTCATATATTCCTCGGGTTATTATAGTGGTTATATTTTTCTTTTAGTTTTTGGCAGTGTTAAATGGAACCTAGGGCCCTGCACATGCTAGGCAAGCACAAGCACTCTGTCACTGAACTACATTTCTTGTGCTTGGTTTTTTGGTGTTTTGACTTTTTTAACAGAGTCTCTCTAGGCTGACCTCAGACTCACATTTCTCCTGTCTCTACATACTGAGTGCTGGGATTACAGGTGCATACCACCATGCTTAATTGTAGTAGTTATGTTATTCTAATAACTATGGAGAAATTTTTCTTTTGTGTGCATGATTGGAACTACTCACTCATTGAACATTGGGAAGAAGCCATTTGGTAAAGTTCTCTGGGCCTGTTTTTGTGATTGGGAGTTAAGTTTTAAAATACATAGTTAATTTCTTTGAAGGTATGGGGGGCAGTCTATCCAGGTTTTCTGTTTCTGAAGTCAATTTTGGTAAACTTTATTTTCTAGGAATTTACTCATTTCTTATATTTTTTCAAATTTGCTGGCATACTGTGGTTCATAATACTCCCACAAATTTTCTACCTTTCTGTTGTTACATCCCATTTTTACTTCCAATACAATTTACTTGCCAGCTTGGTAGAGGGCTAGCTTTTGCTTTTAGCATTTCAAACTGTAGCTTTTGGCTTCCTCAGTCCTCTCTATTTTTTTTCTTTTCCATTAATTTCTGTTTATTTCTGTTTTCTCCACATTTCCTTTGCTATTCCTTTTAGAGTTTTTTTGAGTTGGATGATGAGCTTGTTGACCCGCTGGCTACTTGAGCTGAAGCAGTGGCCTCCAGCCACACACATCCAACCACCTATTCAACACTTCCACTTTAAAGCCATTAGAGCCACAGCACCTCAAGCTTACCATGGTCAAAAGAGACTCTTTTTCTTTTGTCCGTTGTGGGTCTTCAACTCAGGGCCTGGGTGCTGTCCCTGAGCCTCTTTGTGCTCAAGGCTAGAGCTCTACAACTTGAGCCACAGTGCCACTTCTGGTTTTTTCCTAATTAAATGGAGGTAAGTATTCACAGGAACTTTTCTGTCCTGAGCAGCTTTGAACCATGATCATCAGATCAAATCTCAGCCTCCTGAGTAGCAAGGATTACAGGCATGAAGCCATTGGCTTCAAAAGTGACTTCTTGATAAGCATCTATGAAAAATTTGCTTTTCCTCTAATTATGTCCATAATGCCGAAAACTATTCACACAGGTGCTACTGCTCAAAACTCAGACATCACCTTTGTTTCTTCTCTTTCTCTACGTACTACATCCAATTCTGTCTTTTTAACCTTGCAAACATATTTGGACTGACTTCTCAGAAGTTACAGCTCATCGGACCTCCAGACTGGCCTTCTGTCCTCTTTTCATCCACCACAGCCGTTTCTCCACTCTCCATCTTCAACATAGATCTGATTATGTCAGCTTCTGACTCAAAATCCTTCAAGGGCTTCTCATCTCAGAATAATCCTCCACTTCTCAGTGTGGCCGGAAGTGCCTTTCAATGATCATTCTCTACCACTCCCAGCCACATTGTCCTCCTTAGTCTCAACATGTCAGACATGGCTCCTCTTCAGGGCCTTTCAGCTTGCCTGGAATGTTCTTTCACAGAATACTCATGGGGGGGGGGGCAGGGAATGAAATAAGGGCTAAACTCCAGTAGATCTCTAAATAGCACTTTCACAGGTGGATTGCCTATGTCAAAGCCCTTATCTCTATATAAAGTTGTTTAGCTTGCTTTTTGTTGTTGTTGTTCAGTACTGTGCATTCAGAGCCCGGAATGATGCCTGGCACATAGCAGGTATTCAGTAAGTGAAGGGAGGCAGGAGTCAGAATCAGGTGGCGTGTTAAACACAAGATCAGCACGAGCATGAGGATGGATTGGATGGATTGGTATCAGGGTAAGATCACCTTAATGGACACTCCTATTCTAAACATTGCATTGGCTTAACCTTTCGTCATACTGTTAAATATTTTCTCAAAAGAGAATTGCTGTATGTCAGGTCTCAAATTATGTGCTCCAAACCGAGATAAACGTTGCTTCCTCTCGGCTGTCACTGTCCCTTAATCACACCTCCAGCAAACAATCTAACCCAACAATGACAGGTCTCAGGCTGCCTTGGCTTGAACCATCGCCCATCGCCAGAGTTCTGCGAAGGCCAGGGCTGTGATTTGTCCTTAGTTTATTCTGTGCCTCTAAGACAGTGTGGCACCTGGCAGGCGCTAATGAAATAATGCAATGAGTAGGCCTTTCAAACTAAGTCTCTAGGCTTGGAACAACGTCAGAGTCCAGGGCTGGCAACTTTGTAGCTGCTACTGTAAGTGGCGATATATATTTTTTTAATGTCGGCGCAGTGAAACGCTTATTGCAATGTACTCGGTGCGCTTACGAACAGCGGGTCAACAGCTTGGCAGAGTGACATAAACAGGCGTCCAGAGCCTAGGCCTTCGCTGGCCCCAGCGTCCACAAGGGCCCATTAATCCTTAGCATTCAAATTCCGCCCACTAAACCATCCCCTCCGTGTTCAAGCCACCTCTTTTCCCCAAATGACAGTCGGTGGCAACCAATCCACCGCTGGATGGCGGTCCACCCCTTTTCCCGGCTGAAATTGACGGGAACTTCTACCAATTGAGTACGTCTGCACTAAGGCCCCGCCTCTGCCTGGATGCCACAGCCAATGGAGGGCAGGCCCTCGGAGGCGCCGGAGGCGGGGTGCGGGCACGCAGGTGCAGCAGCACGCAGGCCGCCCGGGAGGGCGGGGCGCGACGTCCGCCGTGCGGGGTCCCGGCGTCGGTGGCGCGCGCGCTCCCTCCTCTCGGAGAGAGGGCTGTGGTAAAAAGCCGTCCGGAAAATGGCCGCCGCCGCCGCTGCCGCGCCGAGCGGAGGAGGAGGAGGAGGCGAGGAGGAGAGACTGTGAGTGGGACCGCTGAGGCCGCGGGCGGGGACCCTTGCCGGGGGGCGGGGGATAGGGGCGGGACGTGGCGCGGGAGGGGCTCGTGGGGTCGGGCGACCCGGCTGGCGGATGGCGTCCCTCCTCTCTACCCTCCCCCTCCCGCCGGCGACGATTCTCCCCTCGGCTGGTCACCCGCAAGTGCGGGTGACGGTCCTCGACGCGTTCTTCCCGGAGCCACCTTCGTCTGGCGTCTCTCTCCCTCCTGCCCCATCTGTGTGCATCCCGGCCCCAGCCCTACGGGCGCCCTTGTTGCCCCAGCGTTCCTTGTCGGAGCTGCGCGCGCTCCTGTCCTTCTTGGGGCTTTGGGCCGCCGCGCCGTCGCGCGCCCGCGGCCCCGGCCTCTCCCTGGATCGCGCTCTCCCCTCTCCCTCCCTCGCGCGCCCCCTCTCCCGTTACTCTGCCCCCCCCACCGGCGCGCGTGCGCAGTTCATCTCCCGTCGGGAGAGTGCGCCACAAGGGCTCCTGCGCTCTCACCCCCATCTCCTGGCTTTGCCTCCCCCTCCTTCTCTTCCATTCCATGACTTTGTGCCCCCACTGCGAGCAAGTCGGTCCTCCAGCTCCTTTCCCCGACTATCAAGAACAAGTAGGTGAGGATTATTGTCTACCCACAAAAAAGGTCTAGACATTGTGTTCCTGGGGTCCCACAACTCATCATAAAGAGGTGGCTATAGTTGCTCTAAGAAACGGTGGTTAGGGGATCGCGTACGGCAGTACCTGGGGCTCTTGCATGAGAGCGTGCCTCCATGGACCTCAGAGGTTCTTTGAGGGTGCTGTGGCTTCGGAATGTGAGCGCTCTCCCATCCCCCCCCCGCTTCGCCGGCGATCTTCCAGTTACATAAGTGGAGTGGGACATTGTATGTAACGGGTTCTCATTGTCCTGAAGCGCTCAGGATCACCAGTACTAGATGGGGCAAACTCACCGCATTGCTATGACTCCTGTCGATTGTCTCTGGAAGAAAGTTTATTCTCTTTAGTTTGGTTATGACCAAGCCACCCCTGCTGGAACTCTGGTGACTTTTAAGTATGTAGCAGGGGCAATGTTTCTGAGATTTTGCACTGAAGACTTAAGGTCATTGTGGACTCAAAACGGATTTCTCTTCAAAGAGGAGACCCTTTATGGCATTGCTAAGTTTGGACTCTAGGAGGAAAAGCTTGCTAGGGGACACTTCTGTGCTACTTGCTTCTGTTGTGTGCTCGGCTGTGTGTTGGTGACAGCAGAAATGGGTTCCACCACAAAACTGATATTCCTGACTCATGGTCAGGCAGGTATGTGTGTGCTTCTGTTTATTTTTCCAAGAACACAAATGGGCTTTGCTGAACCATTTACACGTTGTGTCTCCATGGGGATCATTACCCCAAACCGTGAGATGATAGGTTCGAATTTAGGGGGCTGTGGGTGATGATGGAACTGAGCCTACTGGTGTGTGATGCTGAGTGGCTTAGATGGTGTACGGTTCTCACAAGTTCTGGGTATTTTCTTATACTATATGAGTAAAGCATGTTTGGCCTGGCAATTCCTATTTGAGAGGAAAATGTGGGGTTCTGCAGCTGGAATCTAACCAATCGCAATTAATAAGATTAAGCTGACCTCTTGGGCCTTTTGCAATATACTGGATTCCTATAAAAAGATGGGGTCTGGATTTTTGTTTAGGTCTTTGGGGAATTTCCACCAGGGATTTGGAGAAATAGCTTATTCATGGGCTTCAAATCCCAGTCAAGAAGCCTAGGGAACACTTGCTTTTATTCTCTTACCTGGGTATATCCGAACCCTAGAGAGTACATACAGTCAGCCTCGTAGAAACACAGTTGATTAAAGTAAATGATCGTAGATCAGCTAGCTATTCATGCCAAACCAGTTAGCGTGCCCACCGCCAGAGTGCATGCCCATCCACATAGCCGTATGAGCCTCACTTGCTGACGATACCAGGGTTTCTACATCTGAGCGTGAGGCACGACAAGTTGAGGTCTCTGCTTTGTTTCAGTAGTTGGTGTTTGCCCTCAGGAACACACCCCTATCCCAGTTAGCTGTTCGTTACATCCTTAAGCCTTTCAACTGTGCAGGCAGCTGTGAGAATGAAGTTTATCTGCAAAGTGCTTGGTGGTATCTGAAGCCAGTGTGTTCCGACAACTTGAAGAAACTGTATGTGGCTTTCCTGAAGTACTGACCTATCATACTTTCCTATTTCCTGTTATTACAATTTTGCATTAGGTGCTTTAAATCTAGAATACCAGGTCTTTGACCTCATAAGAATGTAATATGCAGTCATCTCTCCTTGGAGTTTGTTTGTTTTGAGCTTCTGGGGATGGAACATAAGGCTTACTCATGGTAAGCAGTCACTCTGCCGCTGAGCTACATCCTCACCCAGCCTTCTGCTTCCACTTTTATGTTGTTTGGATCCTGAGGTAGGTCTGGGCATAAAAACAGACCACAGTGTATTTGGAGGTTTCTGAAACAGTTTTGCATTCTGTGTTTATTGTATGTAATTTTCCAGCCAGAGTTGTTTCCTCTGACTCCCTGGCCTCTGTGAGACCTAATCTAGAGGGACAGGGAGGGAAGCTGTGGACTTTGAAAGAAAAGAGAGAACCTCACTAGAATCCAATGTGCTGTTGCCCCCACCTGGATAATCCTTCCCCCCTTGAGGAAGATGGGACAAGAAGTTCATTTCCTTAACCTAAAATACAGAACAGCCAGGTAAAATTATTATGTTCCCACTGTACCTGCCTAGGACTATTTGCATGATAAATGAGGTGTCTTAGAACCCATAATCTTTAACAAAGATGACTATCACTGGGGTATTTTAATTGGCTACGAACAGTTTGTCATCAGGCTGCCTTGAGTTTTCCCTTTTCCCTCGGGAGGAAAGAAGCACAGAAAACGAATGGCATTTGCAGTAACCAGTGTTTCAAGCGCACCAGGGTAAAATGGAGAGCTCCAGAGCCTGTGTGTGGCAGGACACCTTGTTTCCATCACCTTGTGCTCTGGTGACATCCATGTAGACCCGTCCTTGAGGCTGCCTGACAGAGGTTTTTGGTTGGGTAGAGAACATTATTGCCGCTCCCTCCAAAGGGAGGACCTTGTCCTCAGTGCTTTCATCCGAGTCCTTTCCAGTCACTCGGCTGTTGTCCAGTCAAGCCAGCGAACCTCCACATCATTTCAGGTAGGACCAGTATAAATGGCTCCACTCCTTCTTGGAGTTTGCTTCCACAGAAGGTATGCTCTTCTGCTTTCCCTAATTCTCTTCTTCCTTCTCTTGAAAGGAGTCTTTTCCTTCGGGAAGTTTGATTAACATGACGTTGCTTAAATACTTGGTTTCACCACTTTGCGGGTAGGTATAGTGTGTGGAGTAACTGAGCCGGAGTAGGAATGTGGATGCTGGCAAAGGAGGGGTATGACCATTCGTGTAGAGAACAAAGCCTCGGCTTTTTAACATCTTCAAGGCACACTGTCTAGGTCTGCTGGCATATAGATGTGTGTTCACCATAGCGTGTAGTTTTTTTTCAGCTACTGCAGATGTCTGAGCTCTTTGTTAATTGGCCCTGAAGCCTGACAGGACCAAACCTTAGTAAGACCGCTTGCTTGTTGTCTTCCTTGCATAAGAGCCGAGGATGTTACATATATATTGACCTGCTTGCTTGTGTTTTTACCTAACTGTACTCATTTTTTGGCTTCTTTTTCATGAACTCTTGATTTAAAGACTTAACTTTCAGAGATAGAACCCTTAGTCCAGTTCCCTCAATTTACAAGTGAAACAGGAGTGTAAGAGTAGAGTTTACTGGTAGAGCACTTGCCTAGGATGGCATGTGTAAGGTCCTGGGCTCAGTCCCCACACCACAAAAATAAAATAGGAACCAAGTATGGTGATACATACCTGTATTTGTAGCTACACAGGAGACATTGGTAAAAGGAATGAAGTTTGAGGGCAGTCCTGGGCAAAAGTATAAGACCCTGTTTAGAAAAAACAAAACAAACAACAAAAAAAACAAGCTAAGTGCCAATGGCTCATGCCTGTAATCTTAGCTACTCAGGAATCTGAGATCTGAGAATTGCAGATCGAAGCCAGCCCAGGAAGGAAAGTCTGTGAGACTCTTATCTCCAGTTAAATCACAGAAAAAGCTCAAAGTGGTACTATGGCTCAAGTGGTAGAGTACCATCCTTGAGCAAAAGAAGCTCAGGGACAGCACCTAAGGCCCAGAGTTCAGCCTGAGGCCCCATAAAAAAAATAAAAAATGGCTTGGGGGGGTGGGCGTACCTTAAGTGGTGGAACACCTGCTTAACAAGCAGAAAGCCCTGAGTTCAAACCCCAGTATTGCCAAAAATAAATGAATAAAAAGTAGATGAATAAAATAAAAAGTTGCAAATAGATTAAACAACTTGTGGCCTTGAGATGCTGTGACTTAGCTGGAGGTGGTAGCACATGTCTGTAATCTCAGCTACTTAGGATGCCGAGGTAGGAGGATAACTGACTGGGAGGGGAGCATGACTTAAGTGTCAAGAGTGCTTCCAGGTCTCCCTGGATTCAATTTCTAGTACCATGGGGGGAGATGGGAGGATTGGGACTTTTCAACACCTCCTAACCAAGATACAGGTTTGTTTTTTATTATCCAGGTGACCAAGAAGTACTAACTTCTCCAATATTTAACTTCATTTTAGGGAATTTTGAGGTTTCACTGAACCTCAAAAGGTAACTCTAGGTACCACTAGGTAGCTACTAACCAGTGACAAGTGAAGGACTTGGTTGGCAGTGCCCTTCCTGTGGATTTGATTCCATGAATAATTGTGTGAATGGTCTCTGAGTTGTATAATGTTACTTTTTGTTTCAGTATAAAGCAGTTGTTGGGCCAGCAAGGTATCAGAAATAGCTAATATGAGACAGTTTAGGTTTCAAGAAGGAAATGGTGACAATCTTAATGAGAGAACTCCATTTTGAACATGAATTCCAAAGCAAAAGAAGCTGAGGCAGGAAGATGAGAGGAGCCAGCCTGGTAAACAGTAGTGAGACTGTGAAAAAAAGCAAAAGAAACCATCAAACTAATAAGTAAGTTTGTTGAAGTGAGATTTACTGATCTGAGAGGTTGAAAAGTAATTGCTCTGAGACACTCTTCCATACTTTAAATGATGGATTTGGATCGCCCAGGCACTTGGACACATGGTGCTTTTTTTTCCTCTCAGGTTGAAGTCTTTTACATGATGTTATAATATTTCTTTGCAGCTCCAGCTGCTTGAAAAAGAAGGAAGATTTTTGTCTCTGGATTTTGCATGATCTTTTGGGGATATTTTGATGTTGTATGTTCTCTTGAACATACATTCTTGCCTTGAGTTTTTCTGAATGATGTAGTGGAAGAAATACTTGCTAGAAATGATCGCTCATGGTGTGCTTTACACTGTCAAAGTGTCCCCTACAGGTGACAAGACCTTGTGATACTGTTGATTCTAACAAACATTAATCTTTATTTTAGCATTGTGCAATTACGTGTCAGTAATTTGCAGTTTATCCTTTGCTTTCTAACTAGGTGAGTCGGGAAGTAACAAAGTACTTTATCTATGCGTTTATCTTCAAAATATCCCAAATAGTCCTGGGAAAAAGGTCGTGCAGCTCAATGGGGACTTTCAACTTACAATTTTCTTTGTTTTAGGCTCCATAAAAATACAGACTCACCAGTTCCTGCTTTGATGTGACATGTGACTCCCCAGAATACACCTTGCTTCTGTAGACCAGCTCCAACAGGATTCCATGGTAGCTGGGATGTTAGGGCTCAGGTAAGTAACCTTCCTTTTTTTTTTTTTAGTATATGTCCTGGTTTGGCCATCTGTTTTTAAAAAAAAAAAAAAAAAGGAAAAAAAGATACACTACTCTTGGACAGTATAAAACTACCCCAAAGACTAATGACATAACTGTGCCAAACTGTGCCATATAATAAAAAAAAGTCACTTCCCTGAGCCCTGAAAGGTCAGTTTGGGTAGAGTTACTTGGTAGCTACAGCGTGATCTGGGGGCGGGTGTCAGATGAGAGCTGGAACTGGTGATCTGCAACTTCAGTTCACCTAGAAGCAGGCAAACACCTGTCCTGAGCTCTTCACCTGCGCTAGCTGCTGCTGTTGCCTAGTGGTCTTCAGCCTCTTGCTTTGTTTGCCTTGGTTTTGAGCCAGTCACTTACAGTTCCATATTAGTGAGCAGTGTAAAGCATTTTTAGATACGGAAACTGGTGTGTGTTCCCTTCAAAGGGCACCCTTCCGAAACTGTCATAGAACTGCAAAGCCCATGGCTCATAGCTTGCTATACTAGTCCCATGGAAACAAAAGACAGCATCCAGACCCTTATCTGTCTCTTGCACTCTAGAGCAAGATGAGTGCTTTTTGAAAAGTAGAGAGCCAACTCATTCTAGGTCTGATACTTAGTTGCTATAGTAGCTACATTTTAGACTATTTCAATACTTTAGTTTTATAAAAACTTTTATCAGGCTCATCCTCTCAGGCTGGTTTCTTTTTTAATCAGTAGTCACTCCACATTTGATACTTTGACACTTGGATTTCAAAGATTCTGTGTAGTAAAGCAGAATCCAGTTGAATTTTCCTATTTCTTCTCCTACAAAAAAAGAAAGAGGTGAGTTTTCACATAGGCTGACTGAATTGTGATTTCAGTTTGATCCTGAATAGTATTTTTGTCGTGTCTATCTAGTGATTTCTGAGATACCTCATTAAGCTATCTCCAGCCATCAACATAGTTAGGGATTGTATAAGGAGCAAGGTTTGAATGGAGGAGAAGAGAAGGTATAGAGGAAATTTTAAACAAAAATATCACACTGCCTTCGGGTCTCAGATTTAGTTCCGCTCCTGATCTTGTGACTCAAATTACCATTTCCCTTTACTACTGTGATGTGTGCTCTGGGCTTGGCTGAGTGGATTTTGTTTGGACTCCATGTATTTATACTGGTGAGAGTCATATGGCTAGTGCTTTGTTCATTGTCTCAGAAAATGTGAGGACTAAACCTAATATGGGCAGTGAATGAATTTCTTCTGGTAGATGTTAGGCCTGGGGGTGTTTTGTCCATTTTTTATGTTTATTTTTTGCCCTGGGGATGGAACCAAGGACTTTGTACATAGTAAGCTCTACACCTGAACTAGGTCCCGGCCCAGTTTCTCTTTTTAATCGTCTTTTTTTTTTTCTTTTTGGTGGTCGTGGGGCTTGAACTCTGGGCCTGGGCGCTGTCCCTCAGCTCTTCAGCTCAAGGCTAGCACTGTACCACTTGAGCTACAGCGCCACTTCAGGTTTTCTGTGGTTTTACTGGAGATGAGAGTTTCACAGACTTTCCTGCCTGGTCTGGCTTTGAACCGAGATCCTCAGATTTCAGCCTCCTGAATAGCTAGGATTACAGGTGTGAGCCACCGATGCCCGGCTAATAGTCTTTTTTTTTTTTTTAAGATAACAAATAGATTTATAAAACAAGTAGTGGTGATAGTATCTATTTCTCTTAAGAAATTTAGTAAGGAAGAGATATTTTATTACTTTATTACTCTTACTACTTATGAATGACAAAGACAGACATTTGAGCTCAAATAATAAAACGTATCTTTAGTAGATAAATGCTTAACATCTTATTTTTATTTTTAAAAAAATTGCAGGGGGGCTGGGAAGTTGGCTCAGTGGTAGAGTGCTTGCCTTGTATGCATGAGGCCCTGAGTTAGATTCCTCAGCACTACATAAGCAAAAAGAAAAAAGCCAGAAGTGGCACTGTGGCTCAAGTGGTAGAGTGCTAGCCTTGAGCTAAAGAGCTGAGGGACAGTGCCCAGGCCCAGAGTTCAGGCCCCACGACCGGACCCAAAAAAAAAATGGCAAAACTAAGGCTGAGCCTGGAAGTATATGCTTATATAATCCCAGCACCTGTGGAGGCTGAAGCAGGAGGATTGTGAGTTTGACAGATACAGTGAGATAGTATCTTTAAAAAAATTGCAAATATAATACATACTTTTAAAAATTAGCTTGCACTCATTATTCAGTGGAGGGTTTCATTGTACTGCATGCTTTTATAGCAAAATTAAGCCACCTAATATCAATTGTACAAAAATGAAAGTTCCTTATTCTCTGCTCCCACTATTGAGAGTAACCACTGTTCATAGCTTACTGTGGATTCTTCTAAATCTTCTAGGACTATATGTATCTTTTGTACTTTTAACAAACAAGATGGCATTACACATATTCTACATTGATTTCCCCCTGTATATTTATCTCTGCTTTACTTCTTTTATTTATTTTTACTTTTTTGTTTCACTTCTTTTAAATAGCAGTGTAGTCTGGTGCTGACTTGACCATCATCCATTTCATCGTCCCCCCCTATTGTTTTTCTCAACTGTTTGCTCTTAAAAATAGTACAAGATTGAACTTCCTCATGAACTAAGTCATGGTTTTTGGTTTGTTTGGTCGGTTGGGTTTGTTTTCCACCACAGTACTGGGGATTAAACTTAGGGCCTTAACCAGGTACTCTACCAGTCATTTTGCTTTTTTAGTTTTCCAAATAGGGAGTCTCATGCTAACTTTTTGCCCAAGCTGGTCGCAAATCTTGATCTTCCTACTTCTACCTTCTGAGTAGCTGGAATTAAAGATGTGCTCTATGGCACCTTCTTATTTTTGAGATAAGAGTCTCACTAATGTTTGCCCCAGCTCACCTCAAACTGTCTCTGCCTCCCAGGTAACTGGGATTACAGGCATATGCAAACACACATGGCTATGAGCCAAACATTTTGGAAGAATGGCTGCCGAGATTTGGAGTTGCTGGTAGGTACTACCACATTACCTTCCAAAAGGCTATCCCAATTTCCAGGGCAGTCTGGGAAAATGCCATTTTCTCATACTTTCCCAGACTTGGATGGATATCTTTTAAATTAATGTTCCTTGGATTATTATTGAGGCTCAATCTTGTTAATCAATGGCCATTTGTATCTGGTCTTTGTGAATTGCCTGTTCATGTTTTGCATTCATTATTTTCATCAGGATATTTCTTTTTAAATGGATTAGTAAGAACTCTGAATATACCAAGGATGTTAACTCTTTGTCATCATACAGATATTTTTCCTTTGTCATATGTCATTTAGTTCTTCTTGTCTTTCTGATACGTAAAATTTCTGTTATGATTTCTTTGCTGGGTACATTGGCTCACACGTATAATCCTAGCTACTCAGAAGGCTGGGATCTGATGATCGAGATTCAAAACCAGCCTGGGCAGGAAATCCATGAGACCTATATCTCCAACTAACCAGCAAAAAGCCAGTGAGTGCCAGCTTTGAGCAAAAAAGCTAAGGGACAGTACGCAGGCCCTAAGTGCAAGCCTCAGTACCAGGGTGTGTGCACATGTGCATGCACACGCACACACACACACACACACACACACACACATATTCTCTCTCTCAGAAAATCCTTTCCTGAGGGGGGGGGGGGGGAAGAAAATCCTTTCCTTCTCAAAGCAAGTTCTTAGTATTCATTTATATTTTCTACCTAAAAAATTATTGACGTACTGTTTATGCATATATATTTAATAGATACGTAGAAGAATCCAATGTTTATCTTGTGTTTTTCTAAATGTGTGCATGGGTGTGCATATATATATGGATATGAGGGTTTGAACTCAGGTCCTCATGCTCCTGGTTGGCTTTTTTGGTCATGGCTAGTGCTCTACCACTGGAGCCGTGCCTTCAGTCTAGTGTTTTTGCTGGTTAATTGGAGATAAGTCTTGAAGACTTTTCTGCCCAGGCTGGTTTTGAACCATAATCCTCAGATCTCAGCTGCCTGAATAGCTAGGATTACAGGCACAGGACACTGATGCTTAGCTTAAATACTCAGTTTTTAGTTACTTTGGGATTGAGATGGAATGATATCTAGAGCCCATTTAACCAGTATCTTAGTCATTTGGTATACTAATTATCCAGTTTTCACCTTTATCAAATAGTGACTTCTTGAAGTGAACAAGGGATCTCCTAAATTCTTTCTTGTTTTCTTTTTTCTGTAAGTTTGCTTTTTTTTTTTCTTTCGGAATTTTTTTCTTTGTGAGGCTTGATCCCGGACCTGCCAAAGACATTAACCCAACAAACCTTTGAGCACCTGCTTTGGGCCAGGGACAGTGCTTAGCCTTGAAAGAGGTGCTTTTTCCTCGACAGTGCTCATTCTGAAAGACTCAAGAAAATAGCAGATTCACAAAAGTAGGAAGAATCCAGAGGCCTGTGTGTACATGGTGTACTTTAAACTATGGCAGATAAGTTAGAGTTTCAGTAGGTGCACTGTAACATAAGCACAATTTGTTTTCTAACCTGTGTCATTGCAGGCTGAGTTTTGTCTATGTGATGGTAACTGTTTATCTGCTGAAGCAGTTCTATATTACACATGCTTGGTTATGATGGAATCAAAGTTGTATACTAGTAAAACAGCAATTTTCTTCAACAATGATTTTGAAGCTTTTCTATAATGGCTGATGAAAATAAAGCCAGATTTTGGGTGAATACATTTTAGGGCAGCTAGTGTAGTTATTGAAATGTATGTTATATAATCTAATAAATACCTTCAAAACTAAGATGGAATTCTGCTTTGAATTGAAAGTATATTTTGCTTAAATGAGAACAGAATTGGGCATGGTGATGCACACTTGTAATCCTAGTACTCAGGAGGGTGACATAGGAGGATCTTACGATTGACACTACTGGGGTTACTACACAGACTAAGATGCATGGTGAGAACCTGTCTCAAAAGCAAAAACACAAGCTGGGCACCAGTGG